GAATCCATCACGTCTCATTCGACCGTCTGCCCACTCTGAGCAACATAGGATTCCCTGAATTTTATGCGCATGAAACGTGATACTCGAACCTCACCGTAGAGCTTCAGACTGCTTGAACGTTAATAAGTTGAAATAATTGAGATTCTTGAGCTATTGTTTACAATCAAAATAGGCACCTATTGCTTACATGATATTCATATTGAATTTTGTATTGATGTATTTATTGAGATTTACAAGATGTGGTCTAGGGATTTGAAGAAAAAAAAATACTAATGAAAATTTATGGTAAAAATTGGAAACGTTGAATGATACTTCACAATACATGAGTATTACTTTATGTATATTGATATTTTACCAAGTATAAATTCATAAATATGATTTATGTATAGATTAGTGTATCTTTAAGGATGTCTAGAATGAGTTACATCATAATTTACTTAAATTTGATGATTTATATATTCTAACGTATTTTTTTATGTCAAATACATATAAAATATAAAAATTATCACATCACAATTCGTATCAATAAATTAAATTTAAAATATATTTTTTAATTTTTATTAAATTCATATATAATTTTTATCAATTTTAAATTATATCGATTTTATATTTTGATTTAAATAGATTTTTTTTCTTTTGTATTATTTGTCACGTCTAAGTTTATACCGTGCTTTCCCAATCCAAATATATTAAAAATAAAATCATCATATCTTAAACAGTTTTGGGGCCCAACACTGTAACCCTTAAATTAAAAGAAGAAAAGTAACATTGGGCCTGTGCAGTAGGGTTGAAGTCCAATTACTTATGGATTTAGATTTCCACAGTTTTTCTGATTTTAAGCTCCAAACAGAGGATTAATATATATACATATAGAAGCATAACATCTCCAAACTGAAGCTGTAAGGACTTGACACAGAAATTAAAGTACAAGATATTATATTAAATAAGCTACTTCGCTGTTCTACAAATGGCCATCAAATATATCAAGCTGTAGTTTGGGGCCAAAATCCCAATCTCTAATTTCTTGGTTAAAATAATAATTTTTTAAAAAACATTTATTATTTTATTTAAATAAATTTTTATATTTTTATTGTACACAAATAAATCTTTAAGTTTTAATATGCATTTAAATAACACGAAATGTTTACCAATACATTTCCAGTACCAGAGAAAGAGAGAAAATTAAACGTTGTAAGAGCTGTTAATTATTTCATTTACTTACACTGAGGGAAAGAAAAGATTCCTTTTTATGTTCAGCAGCACCCAACTTAACAGGAACCAAGTCTAATTCAAGCCTTTTCTCCTTGAGGACTGAAAGAACCCTCATCATAGATGTTGAGAAAGGGTTTCCATGTACTTTGAGGACTCCCATGATTGATTGCCCAACTCTAATTTGATCAACAAGTTAACTGCAAGATACTAAAATTCGAGTATGTTATTGAAGCAAAAACAGATGAATCACATTCCCCTATCAGGGGGAAAAAGAAACTTACACAATCAATCTTAGAAAGTAATCTGCAGCCAAGGATGCACTGTGCATGAGTTAATAGCAAGTAAAATATCAGTGCCCCTGGAGAATTATGGAACCAAGCAAGCTGAAATACTTTTCCACCACAATCAATGAAATCTCTTCAGCCTGGTGTGAACACAATAAGGCTGCATTAGCAATAAACGAGTATCCACTTCCGTTGTCCTAAAATATTAAAAGGAAAAAAAAATTCCTTACCAATCCTTTCTGGAGCATGCAAATCCTCAGAACCAAGTTCAACCTTACATCCACTGTCCTTGGTCTCAGTGACAACATTGTCAGATTGAAAAGTAATAAATGATTATTCATACAGAGAAATTTAAACAGAAAGTTTGAGAGTAACAATTAGTTTCTTGGTAAAAAAATCATTCTGTTACACAAAAAGCCCCTTCAATATTTAGGTGTGAGCAACCAAAAGAAAACCAACTACATTCTACAACCTTAAGTAAAAGGTGCAGTAGTGAATTCTTATGCATAAAATTGGCAAGGAATAAGTGCCATTCATCTTATTTGCTGTCTTGTAAAACTACAACAATATCACTTCCTGTCATCAAGAATAGACAAGTTTGAAGCCACAAGTTGGTGGTGATTGTGGTACCTATAAATTACAAAAAATTTTATTGCCTGCAAGAACACCTATCATCACACCAAGAAGAGCTGACAAGGCTCCCTCCCTTGAAAGCCAGAATTCAGTCCATGTCAAGGGCCCTTTGACCTGCAACAGTACCTCCCTAAACCTTTCCTGGAAGTCCTGAAGTGACCCAGTGTTATCTATCACTATGTCTGCTCGGCTCCTCTTCAAATGTAGAGACATCTGAGCATTTATCCTATTTTTGGCATCCTCCTCTGTTGATTTATCTCTTTCCATAAGTCGTCGAAGCTGTGTTTCAGGATCTACCTGACAACAACAATGGGTTTTGTCCACTTATCCATCTTGGCCTCAAACAATAATGGAATGTCAAGAACGATTACCTTATGACCTTTTATCCGTAGCTCTAGAATTTCTAAAAAATGCCATAAGATATATAGAGAGCCAAAAACCTACAAGAAGAAAATTAACCAAAATTTGAATTCAATACAATCCGCAACTTCATGACAAGGTAAATGATGATGATACATAATCAAGCCTCCGTGCAGGTAACCTCCAGGCTCCGGGCATAAAAGACACTACATTTCCGACATTTAGCCTAGGTAAAATTAAACATCTAAGAAACAGAGTTTGACCAGCACGACTTAAGGATAAGAAGGCAATATAACTTCCAACTGCCTTTAAATCGTTTAAAAGCAATCTCCTAGGTGATCATGATATCAATTGGCTATAACATCAGCGCCATAAGGGAGTAGTTGAGAAAACCATGTATATAAGCAACTTAAAGAAGACCAAATTTTACAATAAAAAGTGGATTAAATTTTGCATTTTGAAGGAAAAATTCCGACCTCCATGACTAGTAAACTACCAGAATAAGTACAGAGAAACACCGTCTTTAAAGCTATTCCAAATATTAAGCTGACTAAAAAATTAAATTAAAAAAAGAAAATTATAGAAAATTTTACCGATTAAGGAGTTGACGTTCGGCCCAATTTCAAACGATTGACTTGTCCATCATCTTGTAAAATGTCCGGCCCAAATGCGGCAACCACCTTTTTGTAACCGCCGGTGCCCTTCTTCAACACATCCTGCAAAACCAAAACTAATAGTACTAGTTAAAAATGTAATCTTTGGTTTCATCAAACAGGTGGTGGGCAAAAAAGGGAAAAAAAAAAGAGAACGAAGCAAAGAAAGGAAGAGTACACGAGCGATGACGTCAGCATCCACGACGGGAATGTTGTTGTGCTTGAACATGGAAGAGACTGTACTCTTCCCTAATGCAATCCCTCCGGTTAGCCCTACCATCCCCATTTTCACTCAACTTCTTTCTTCCCTGCTTCAGTCCTTTGACAAGTCTCCTGTTTCCTTCGCCGTATACCTTACCTGTTAAAATAATAAAGACCTTATATTGTCTTTTGAAGTTGAAACTAATGAACAAAGGTGGCAATGCGCATCTGGTGTAGAGGTATCATAGTACCCTCCCACGGTACTGACCGGGGTTCGATTCCCCGGATGCGCAAAGCAGGCCTTTTTTGTCTTATTATACTTGTTTGGTTTCTGAGAAATGAGCTTGAATACGCACTCTACCTGTGGTTAGAATTCCCGCTACGACTGCTTCCCGGTCCGTTCTCAGTCCAAAACACTGCTATAAACCAGCGACCAAAAGCGAAATAAGAAAAAGAAATGTGGGAAATCAATTCACGGTTTTAGAACTTCTTTTCCTGCCCTTTGAAAGTTTCCTAATTAGGGCTGAGCATTAATCGGTTTCTACCAAAAAAATTGACAAAAAATCGGTAGATAAATTAAATCGATTTTGATTTTTTCGATTAAATAAACTAAATCTGTTGATGGTTCGGTTTATTTGATATTCGCAGTCAGTTTTCAGTCTTAATATTCAAAATTGAACCGACCGAAATATCTGATAAAATATTATTAATATTTTATATTTTAATTATATATTTTATCAAAATCGAATTTCTCTTGGACTCTTTCTCCCTCAGACCATCGTCTTCGCCCTTGCACTCTCTGTCTCTCACAGGCCCTAGCCCTTGCCGTTGCCCTACTCGATCTTGACGTCGCACACCTCAACCAACGATCAACGACAATCATCCAAATGCCATACCTCACCTCTCTTTCTCCTCTGTCCTCTCACCTCTCACTTCCGACAAAAGGATATTAGTCTTCATCTATAGATTTGCTTTCTCTTTCGTCTCCAACAAACAATAATCGGTTTGAAGCTTTGTTCCTGCTCTTTTCTACAACTCAAGTCAGCTGTTCATCATTAAGGTAAGATCCTTTCCTTTCTGAGATTTCTAATTATTTTCAGGCATTTTCTCTTCATTTTCTTTTAACTCAAATGAGGATTATAATAACCAAGCATATGTGTCTATTTGAAAAATCGAAAGGCAATATTTACTCAATTTCATTTACATTGCAGAGTGCTGCTAGTAATGTTAATAGTATGATAATTATAAGATTTTCCTTTTGTATTTGACATTATCAAGCTTTAAACTATAATCACTGGATCTAAAAGCCTAATACATTATCCTTGTCCTTTTTATTCCATTTATATATGAAATAATACCAATTTCTGGCACCAACAAGAAGGAGAAAACAAAATTTGGTTGCTTAGCCCTAAGACAGAGGTATATAGGCCATAAAGAAACAAAAATCACATGTCCAAAATGAGTTTGAGCCTAAACTCTAAAGTATTTTATCACATTTGATCTTGTAGGATTCAAATTTGAGATAAGAGTCTTTGCAAATTGATCGTTGTGAAGGGTAAAGACTTTTTCAACATTTGGCGTTGGACTTGGATAGATGGAATTTGGAAGACTTGAACCTTGTGATATGGACTAAAGGGTTTGTTGTATGCATCATTTTGAGTTATAGAACTATTATGCGATTTGGATGGACATTTTTCATATGAAGTGGTTTTGGTGATATTCTAAATTATCTAATGAATATGGATGTTGTAGGAGATTTAAGGTGAAGAAAGAAGTAGTGGAGCCTGAAACTGATCCTGAGAGGGACCAGATAACTGTTTTTGCTTACCAATTAGATGCATTGCACTTTTTGCTTTCATCTTCTAAGGATTATTTAGCATCAATGTTAAACTTATGTGTGTTCAAACATGCATTTTTTTTTTCTTTTGCGCTAATGTTGAATTACTGTTCACCTTGAATTGGTTGATGACAAATGCCTCTAAAAGCAACCAGAGAGATGTCTATGAATTCTTTTCAAAAGCAAGTAAGGTTAGCTAGGTTTAACTTTGTTATTTTATTTCTTATGTGAAGGTTGTAAGTATGCCAGGATTCCACATTAGTTGGTTTGGGAAAAATTCAATGGCTTGAATTTGAAAATTTGAGGGTACATTTAAAATACTAGGTTTATTTCCATTATAACACTCATTTTTTAAATTTTTAGTATGTAATTTGTAGCAATCCCATTTTGCATTATCTATAATATTTCTTCAAATTCATTTGCGTTTTTATAAGTTTATGATAATAGCTAGAAGTTGATGCATAAAACAATGTTTAGAAGGATATGAACGGATAATATTGAGATACATCGGCTTCCTCTTGTAATATATATTACTTTGCCTTTAGTTACTAGTAGTATTATGATTTCTAGTATCTCAACATACTATATATGTGGGGTGAGTTAAAAGCACATGTATTAAAGAATACAATCTTGTTGACACCCCTTGATTGGTGTTTCATCATGAAGCTTGAAAGTCTGGAATCCCCCTATATATTAAAGTTTTTGAGGCTATTATTTTTTGTTTGATCTCTTACTTTTGTTTCCCTTTGTCATTTTCAGGTGAGAAATGTGCAGTTGATCATGGATAGGAATTCAAAAAGATCAAAGGGAGTTGGGTCTATTCCTTTTATGTTGAGCAAAATTATACTTTTTTAGTCCTGTGAAATAAGTATTAGTAGCTTTGCTTTCAATAATCAAGTTTAATTGTATTCTTAAATGCACTAACAATGCGATAATGATGAAGAATGATGGGAAAACACTCATGTTTAATCAATTCATACTGCGTACACAAGGTAGATGACATAAACCTAAATTTTTTCTTCTCACCTCTCTTCTGCATTGAATTTTCTTTGTATTGAAGGCAACTGATAAAATGATAAACAGTATATCAAAACCAACTAAATCAAGAAAATCGACTGAGACCAAATGGGTTAAGTCGGTTTGATTTTCTCGATTTTATTGTATAATTCGGTCGGTTCGATTTTATCCTAAGACTAAATAAGTTAAATCGGTTTTACAATTTTTACAAGTGAATTAACTAAATCGACTGTTTACTTAACCTTGGTTTCTTTTATGGTCGAATCAGGTTTTTGTTGGTTTTTCAAATCAATTCACAGTCAATATAATATAATATAATATAATATAATATATATATATATATATATTTGAGTTCATTTGGTTGGATTTTAATTAATTTTCTTGGTCACCCAAACAGAAGTATTAACCTAAAATTAGAGATGTTAATTTTACTCATATCCATTGTAAAAACTTCTTTTTATCCAAATGAAAATATAAATAAATATTATATTGTAAGTATAAATATAGAGATTGACATAATTTTAAATTTTTATTTAATATGAAGATAAGGATGAATAATATAGCACTTATCTCGTGTTCATATCTTCTATTCATTTGCATGTATTTAATAAATAAATTTTTTATTAAATAATATAAATTATTATTTTAAATTAATTAAAATTAATATATTTTAATTAAAAAATATATATTAGTACATATTTATAAAAAAATATTTAAATATATAAGATAAAAATTAAAAAAATAAATTTTTATTTTTATTTTTTAAAAAATTATGATAAGAAAATTATCTATATTTATTAAATATTAATAATAAATTTAAATTTAAATTTAAAATATTTATTAAATATAAATACGAGAATATATATAACACAAAATTTTAAAAATAAAAAATATATATTTTACTCTTATCGTACCCTACCATTGACTTTCCTCTCTGAAACTACCGCTTCAGTCATGTCATCGTATTCAAACAGAATAGTTCACTTACTAAACGCGTCCACTTCTCCTTCTCACATTCATCAGATCCAAGCCCAATTCGTTGTCCGAAACCTCCTCAAAAACCAATTCATAGCTCACCATTTCATCAATTCCTGCAACTCTTTAGGCCTTTTAAACGAAGCCCACTCCCACCTCATCCTTTCAAAAACACCCGCTCACATCTTCATTTACAATTCCCTCTTTAGAGCTTTCTCCCACTCTAAAACCCCAAATCTCCCATTTTCTTTATATACCCACATGCAAAACGCCTTAGTTTTGCCCAATAACTACACCTTCCCTTTCCTTCTAAAGTCATTAGCCGACTTCCATCAGCTCCAAAAAGGCCAAATGGTTCAGACCCATGTCATAAAATTGGGTCATTCGTATGACATTTATGTACAAAATTCCCTAATGAATCTCTATGCATCGTCTGGTGAAATGGGTTTCTGTCGCCAAGTGTTTGATGAAATGCATAACAAAGATGTCGTTTCGTGGACTATTTTGATTACTGGGTTTAGAAATGTTAGAAGATATAATGATGCTTTGATTGCTTTTGAGCAAATGCAATATGCAGGGGTGTTACCTAATAGGGTAACCATGGTAAATGCATTGGGTGCCTGTGGTAGTTTTGGTGCTATTGAAATGGGGGTTTGTATTCATGATTTTATAAGGAAAAAAGGGTGGGAATTGGATTTGATTTTAGGGACTGCTTTGATCGATATGTATGGAAAATGTGGGAGGATTGAAGAAGGGTTGAAAGTTTTCCATAGCATGAAAGAAAAGAATAATTTTACATGGAGTGCAGTTATTAACGGTCTAGCTTTAGCTAAAAATGGGGGGCAGGCGTTTTGGTGGTTTAATAGGATGGAACAAGAAGGGTTTAAGATTGATGATGTAACTTTAGTTGGAGTGCTTTCTGCTTGCAGTCATTGGGGTTTGATTGATATGGGTCGAAAAATATTCAGTTTTCTAGTTGAAGGGAGGTATGGATTTTTGCCTGGTGTAAAACATTATGCGTGTATAATTGATCTCTTGGCACGTGTAGGATGTCTTGATGATGCTTTTAGATTTATCCAGGAAATGCCTTTTGAGCCTACGAGTTCCATATGGGGATCATTGCTGGCTGGTTGTAGAACTCATGGAAATTTGGAAATGAGTGAGATTGCTGCTAAGAAAATTGTGGAGTCGGAGCCAGATAATAGTGCTTGCTATGTTGTGTTGTCCAATTTATATGCAGCTATGGGGAGATGGGATGATGCTGAGAAAGTGAGAGCATTGATGAAAGAGAGGGGATTGAAGAAGGACCTTGGTTTTAGCTCTGTGGAATTGGAACCACAGGAACAGGTTTATGAACTATTAGCAGACGCATAGCAAACCCCTTTAACTTGCCTGTCAAGAATGATTTTAGTCCTCTCCTTCGATCCTCCATTAAGGAGGAAAGGTTTGTTTTGCTTGGCGGAGTCCTGAATCTGGGTTATGAGGCTACTGTGCTCTCTGTTTGAGTTTGATATTCTTCTCCATGACAACAAATGTATAGCCAAGGATGGTAAATCCTAATATGCTCAATTTACAACTATATGGCAATGGACAATGTTCTTTGCCGCTGTTTGGAGGAAAGCACTCAAAACGTTTGTACCGTATATCATGAATCCATCATGTCTCATTCGACCGTCTGCTGACTCTGAGCAACATTATTTCCTCAAGGTAGAGGATTCTCTGAATTTTATGCGCATGAAACATGATACCGGAACCTCACCGTAGAGGTTCAAACTGCTTGACCGTAAATAAGTTGAAATAATTGAGATTCATGAGCGATCGTTTACAATAAAAATAGGCACCTGTTGTTTACATAATATTAATATTGAATTTTGGATTGATGGATTTATTGAGATTTACAAGATGTGGTTTAGGAATTTGAAGAAAAAAAAAATCAGATTTGAAGAAAAAAGCAAGTACTAATGAAAATTTTTGGTAAAAGTGAGAGACGTAGAATGATACTTCAGAATATAGGAGCATTAGTTTATGTATGTTGATATTTTGCCGTGTATAAATTCATAGATTAGTGTATGTTATTAAGGATGTCTAGAATGAGTCACATTAGAATTTACTTAGATTTCATGATTCTTATATTTTATCATATCTTTTTATGTCAAATACACAAAAATTATTATATTATAATTTATGTCAACAAATTAATTTGAAAAAATATATTTTTTTTATTAAATTTATATATAATTTTTGTCAAATTTAAATCGTATCAATTTTTTGTATTGATTTAAATTGATCTTATATTTCTTTTATATTGTCTCATTTGTCATGGCTATAGCCTGCTTTTTCAATCCAAATGTATCAAAAATAAAATCATCATTTCTTTAACAGTTTTTGGGCCCAACATTTTTACACTTAAATTAAAAGAGGAAGCCCGTGTTGTAGGATTGAGGTCGAATTAATTATGGATTTAGATTTCAACAATGTTTCTGATTATAATTTATTCGACGAATTTATTCCATGCTAATAAGCTCCAAACATAGCATTAAAAAAAAAAAAAGCATAAGATCTCCAAACTGAAGCTGTAAGGACATGACACAGAAATTAAAGTACAAGACATTATAGTAAACAAGCTATTTCACTGTTCTACAAATGTTTACAAATACATTTCCGGTACCCGAGAAAGAGAGAAAATAAAACGTGGTAAGAGCTGTTAATTATTTCATTTACTTACGCCGAGGGAAAGAAAAGATTCCTTTTTATGTTCAGCAGCACCCAACTTAACAGGAACCAAGTCGAATCCGAGCCCTTTCTCCTTAAAGGACTGAAATAACCCTCATCGTAGCTGTTGAGAAAGGGTTTCCATGTACTTTGAGGACTCCCATGATTGATTGCCCAAGTCTAATTTGATCGACAAGTTAACTGCCTGACAGTTATGTATAGAGAGGCAACGCTGGGACGTAGCTCGATTGCGGGAAAATAGTGCCCCAATATTCACATAAATATATAATAAGGGAGCACATGTTACTTACTTTCTAAAAAAAAAAAAAAAATCTTTCCCCAATGATATGATTGAGAAATAATTAATGAGACTAGGATTTGAGATCAAATTAAATATCGTCGTTATTATCTTCATTGAATTGAAGGGTCAAAAGATGCCAACTCAAAAGTAGTGGAGCTAGTATTATCATATAGATGTGAAGATGATGACCCCCATGCTGTCTTTACTGTCTTCTGTTTGGGTACAGGTCTTTATTGTCTCCACATGGATCTTTTCTATCTTTACATTTCGATTTTTGCATAAAAAGCCAAGGCAGATAAACTCTATTCTCTTTTTTTTTTTCTCTGAACTTAAATTAGACCTGAAAACACATGAAAATGAATTGGATTATTCATGATTTAGATGTAATCTATTCCAATGATTCGGAAAAATTCAGGTATTTACAAGAAATTTTAATTATATAACCATGAATATTTAATTGATAACTTTGATTTTTTTTTTTTAACAAAATTTGAGTTTTATTTGTTTATGCCGAATTATGTTACATCGGCAGCGTCAATGCCCTTCCATTCACCAAAATCCAAGGCCCAAAGAAATCCTTCAAGAGCGCCACGGCCTAAGTGACTGTCGATTCTCCTGGCTTCTCGAATCAAAGCCCATATCGTTGCCCTCTCCTGCCTATTAAAGCCCGTGCCACCGGCTCAATAACAAACCCATTGTTTCGCTTTCTCTAATTTTCCCAAATTGCCCAAGTCACTAGCTGATTTGCACGAGCTCAAACTGGAGCAGTCAATTGACTATAATGCCACAAAAGTGGGACGTTTTAATTCCATCCATGTCCACTAACCGTTTTCGTGGCGAAGCGAGATCGTGTAGCATAGCTTTTATGAATTGCCTAAAGGGGATGTTGTATCTTGGACCGTTCTGATCATCTTTTTACATGGGGTTTATTAATTTAATTATTACCACAATAATTCCTTCCAACTGTATCGTGAGATTTTATCAACTCCCATCCTTCCCATTAATGGAGGATTATCCTTTCCCGGGCTCTGCTTTTTGGTTGATGTGTTTGTCAATACTAACAGACTAGTTCTCAGAAGGTTAAGCTATATTTTATCTGCACAACCTGTGCACCTACAGCAGTTTTCCAAATCCAAATAGTATAGAACAATTAAAAGAAAGAAACCGGTTGAAGAGTTGGAATCACGTAATAACGCTCCAACGAATGTATGAAATCATTGAAGACACCATATTCAACAGCCCAGGCGAATTGTTGCTGCATTAAACAATAGATGGAACACAAGCTCAATACCTTCAACTTGAAGATTGAAGTCTGACACCCAAAGGATAAACACAAGAGGATGCCGCGGCATAAATCTCCATATTGGAGACTGAAGACAAACACTGAAATCTTTTATTTTCATATTTTTTCCCCGAGAATGATAGTAAGACCCAAGGACAACACTGAAACCAAATTAAATTCAAAAGATTACACCCGGTATTATTCGTTGCATGCTAATAGCTTGGAAGGTGCCAAGTCCTTACTGTTTTAGCATTGCCAGGACCTTGGACCAAGCTGGCCTAGCCGTGATGTCAGCTACCCAAGCGCTAGCATGGGGACGCGAATCGAACAGCTTCTTGGCCGGGGTCCCCAACAAATAATGAATGTTGGGGAGGTGATGCAAATCTGCCAAGGTGAAATAGTCACATGCCAAGTACTTTGACTGAGTCAATCGAGTCTCATAGACATCTAGAACTTTGGCAAGCTTAGCTTCATTTTCCTCCACAACTCCAGTGTCAGTAGCCATGCCCAAAAATGGCTTGAAAGCCAGCTCCCAGGCTAGCTTTGAAGATGCAGGATCAAACTGGTGGGCTTCTACCTCCTTCCACATTTCTAAGACTGCCTTACTCTTATTAGAGCCAGGCAATAACAGTTGGGTACCCTTATCGGTGTATTCATGGGCAACATATTGGGTGATTGCCCTTGATTCTGCATTTTAAAAGTGCAGAGCTTGATGGGGTTAGCTACATATAGATAATAGTTGTAGAACTACTAACAATTTAAGGGTTTCGCTCATAAAACTTTACCAAAGAGCTTAAAGTCCCCTTCTTCAAAAGCTGGAACTTGACCAAATGGCTGCATCAACCGGATGAGAAATATTAGCTAGATTCACGGTACTCTCACAAAAGGGTTTTGGGAAACATGGATTAATAGTAATAAAAATAGTTGAGTCGTTGAGGGAAATCCCATCCAAAATGAGAAAAGAAGGGTTAAAGTGAGGTGGATTTTTTCTGCAGAGCAAGTTCTACTATCAGACAAGCGATTTATGAAACAGGCGCTAAATCTTCTGTCCTGTAATACCTTTTAAGTTAAAATAGAGGAGAGATCTGGAATATATACTTACATTGAGAGAAAGGTAGTTTTCCGATTTATGTTCACCAGCTCCCATGTTTACAGGAACAAAATGAAATTCAACCTCTTTCTCGTAAATGCACGTAAGAGCCCTCTGAGTAGCTGTTGACAAAGGGCTTCCATGTAATTTGATGACCGCCATTGTTGTTCGACGACTCTAACTTGATCAAGAACTGCAAAAGATGAGAAATATTTTGTGGGTTTCTTAGCAAAGAAGCTTTTTATGCATAAAATACGTAAGGTAGAAGGAGAAATCTTCCCAAGCATTTAAGGCTCGAAACCAACCTTGCCTCCCTCACAACACTTGCCTTTCCGTCATTCCAGAATGCTCCAAAGTAAAAAATTACTACAGCCCATTTAACAAATAACACCTCCAATCAAAAGCCGGTGCTTTAGTTATTTACTTTTATTATTTTTCTTCCTGTTTTCATTCAGATTCTTCAAAGTTCAGCCTTTAAGTTTATTTTTATTTTTTTAAAGCTCCAACCACATGCACAAAGTTAACATCTTGGAAAAATCCCAAATCTCCACCACCAGATGTCAACCTTTGTACTTAGCTTGTGTCACAATCCCCAGCGCTCACAAGAACAAAATAGGAATCAACCGGAAGTTCCTGGAAAAATCCTATGCACTTTTTTACGTACTGAATATTTTCTTATATTAATTTTCGATGTGAAGTAGTTGTATGCTTTTTGGGTGCTGTATGGATCTGATTTTTTTAGACCTGTCCGCGGTCAACTAAATTACTTATAAACCGACAATTACAACAATAGTAAAATCTCCAAAGTGAATGACCATAACAATCAAATTACTTAAAAATCTCATGACAGCTTGGATTCTTCCTTGAAAAGCTATGTTAGGTGTAGTAGCATTTTCCTATTATTTGTGGGGTTTTGGCTGCTTGAAGGAGCACCAAACCAATTGACTTTAGACAGCCAGCCGCCAGCCATGACAAGATTGGCTGAACTGTTGGTTAAAGGAATATAATAGTATTCTTTAAGAAATACTTCGTAGACAAGTTAGTTTCTTTATCATTATTGGTGTTTGGTTATATTGGGCCGACAATTCTCGTTAGGTTTATCTTTTTTAATGAACCAACCGACCCCTTGTTTGGTATTTGGAAAAAGTGCAGATATGTATTTTACAAATAAAAATCATAAAAATTATATAACGAAATATCAATAAAATTTTTTAATTTTATAAATCGAATTAAAAAAATTAACTTATATCATTTTTTAATTAAATTATTTACTTTTTTAATATATCTCATCTTATTAATTTATGAAATACAAAATTTTTTATCAATATATTAGATTATTTCTTTTGAAAAAAATTATAAAATGGGGGAACGTGAAAGAAAATTCTGGTTTCTAGGTATTAAATTATTAATCTGCCTTCCCTTAGTGGTGGCGTAGTGGGCCATCCACTCCCCTACCCTGAACGCGGGGTGATCCTTTCTTTGGATCCTATGATGATTAGTTGTGTTGGGCTCTGGCCACATTATCCCAATATCCGTCCTTTTCTTTTTCTTCAATTATTTCCTTTTCTTGCTTAACCCAGGGGCAAACTTAAAACTCCTTAAATGCAAAGCCAGTTTCAGAATATAAAACTAATTTTAATTTAAATTGGTATAACTGATATTTTTTCTAAAAAAAATTTACCGATGTAAAGGGAAAGAAAGGGAAAATTACTGTTTGGCCATGTATTATTATTGCAGTATAGTCCCTTCTCTTTCTCTATCATTAATTTATCGCCTGAGTAATAGTTTGGATAATACAATATTATATACACATATTTTTTTAAAAAAAGACGTTTTTATTTTTTACTTACCTTCAATAAATTCTAAAATTTTTGAGATTTTTACTCAAAAAAAAAATGCTTGCTTACAAAGTTAAACCTAACCTGGCTATATTATACGAACTTTATTATAAAGAGATGTTATTAATCATGTACATAACAGGAGGAGAAAGTTCTTAATAAAATTTAATAAGTGTAAACAAGTAAAAAAATTATAATTTTGCTCCCAAAAATTGAATTCATATTTATAAGGAGAGTTTTACTTATACTAGTATAAATTTTTTTAGTTTTATATTTTTTTTTCATATTTGATTTCAATAAACATAAGTGATGCTAGAAACAAATAAAAACAAGAAAAAAATGATTTAATCTCATTTTTATATCAATTAAAATCATTGATTAAAATAATTGTAAAACTAAAAAGTTTTACAATCATGTAAGTTGATTTTTACTCTATAATTTATATTTAATACATATTTAATTTTAATAAGTGTAAACAAGTTCGCCCTGAAATATTAAATATAAAGATACTTTGATTAATTCTAAAAATTTTATATTTTCAACAAAAGGGAAAAAGAATAAAATAACAAAAGTTTCACACACACATATATATATATACACACTATAAAAATATCTTATAAGTCAAATTGTGGCTAATTTATAGGCTCCATTTAGTAAAAATTTTAGGGATTTGATAGAATCAATCAATGCTTGAATATTGGGATTACATTTTGTCCAAACATAATCTTAGGCCTCTAATTTGATCCCAATTGAATTCATCAATTATTCTTACTTAATTCTACATTAAAAACTTTTGACTATATTAATGAGATTTTGATATGGCCGATTCGAAATTTTGATTTATTTATTTAAATGCAAATTAGAATGAAAAAAAAAAAGAAAGAAAAAATTAAAATAATAATAATAATAATATAATATACCATATTATGATGTAATATAATACAATATACTATCCTACAATACATTATACTATGATATACTATACCATGATTATTATAATAATATAATATAATAATATAGTATGTTATAAATAATTATAACATTAAAAATTAATGGTTGATCTCGGATATAGATAAGTGTCTACATATATATAGTTTGGGTTTTTTTTTTTTTTTTCATTTGGTTGGGTTTTAATTAATTTTCTCTACCATCAAAACATAAATATTAATCCGAAACTAGGATATCAATTTTACTCATATCCAATAAATAATCTTTTTTTTTGTCTGAATAGAATGTGAACAAGTATTATATTGTAAATATAAAGATAGAGATATGTATAATTTTAAATTTTTATTAGATACAAAAATAAAGATTAGTAATATAATATCCGTCTTGTAACCATACTTTATATATATTTATATGTATTTAATAAATAAATTTTTTATTAAATAATATAAATTATTATTTTAAATTAATTAAAATTAATATATTTTTATTGAAAAATATATATTAATACATATTTATAAAATAGTACTTAAATATATAAGATAAAAATTAAAAAACTAAAAGAATAAATTTTTATTTTTACTTTTATAAAACTTACGGATATAAGAGTTATTTATAAGAATGAGGATAAAAGTAAATTTAAAATATTTATTTAATATAAATATAAGAATGAATATAATATAAAATTTTAAAAATAAAAAAAAAATATTTTACTGTTGTCGTACCCTACCATTGACTTTCCTCTCTGAAACTACCGCTTCAGTCATGGCATCGTATTCAAACAGAATAGTTCACTTAGTAAACGCGTCCACTTATCCTTCTCACATTCATCAGATCCAAGCCCAATTCATTATCAGAAACCTCCTCAAAAACCAATTCATAGCTCACCATTTCATCAATTCCTGCAACTCTTTAGGCCTTTTAAACAAAGCCCACTCCCTCCTCGTTCTGTCAAAAACACTCGCTCACATCTTCATTTACAATTCCCTCTTTAGAGCTTTCTCCCATTCTAAAACCCCAGATCCCCCTTTTTCTTTATATACCCACATGCAAAACGCCTTAGTTTTGCCCAATAACTACGCCTTCCCTTTCCTTCTAAAGTCATTAGCCGACTTCCATCAGCTCCAAAAAGGCCAAATGGTTCAGACCCATGTCATAAAATTGGGTCATTCCTATGACATTTATGTACAAAATTCCCTAATGTATCTCTATGCATCGTCTGGTGAAATGGGTTTCTGTCGCCAAGTGTTTGATGAAATGCATAACAAAGATGTCGTTTCGTGGACTATTTTGATTACTGGGTTTAGAAATGTTGGAAGATATAATGATGCTTTGATTGCTTTTGAGCAAATGCAATATGCAGGTGTGTTACCTAATAGGGTAACCAGGGTAAATGCATTGGGTGCTTGTGGTAGTTTTGGTGCTATTGAAATGGGGGTTTGTATTCATGATTTTATAAGGAAAAAAGGGTGGGAATTGGATTTGATTTGAGGGACTGCTCTGATCAATATGTATGGAAAATGTGGAAGGATTGAAGAAGGGTTGAAAGTTTTCCATAGCATGAAAGAAAAGAATAATTTTACATGGAGTGCAGTTATTAACGGTCTAGCTTTAGCTAAAAATGGGGAACAGGCGTTTTGGTGGTTTAATAGGATGGAACAAGAAGGGTTTAAGATTGATGATGTAACTTTAGTTGGAGTGCTTTCTGCTTGCAGTCATTGGGGTTTGGTTGATACGGGTCGAAAAATATTCAGTTTTCTAGTTGAAGGGAGGTATGGATTTTTGCCTGGTGTAAAACATTATGCATGTATAATTGAGCTCTTGGCACGTATAGGATGTCTTGATGATGCTTTTAGATTTATCCAGGAAATGCCTTTTGAGCCTACGAGTTCCATATGGGGATCATTGCTGGCTGGTTGTAGAACTCATGGAAATTTGGAATTGAGTGAGATTGCTGCTAAGAAAACTGTGGAGTCGGAGCCAGATAATAGTGCTTGCTATGTTGTGTTGTCCAATTTGTATGCAGATATGGGGAGATGGGATGATGCTGAGAAAGTAAGAGCATATATGAAAGAGAGGGGATTGAAGAAGGACCTTGATTTTAGCTCTGTGGAATTGGAACCCGAGGAACAGGTTTATGAACTATTAGCAGACGCATAGCAAACCCCTTTATCTTGCCTGTCAAGAATGATCTTAGTCCTTCCCCTCGATCCTTCATTAAAGAGGAAAGGTTTGTTTTGCTTGGCAGAGTCCTGAATCTGGGTTATGAGGCTACTGTGCTCTCTGTTTGAGGTTGATATGCTTCTCCTTGACAACAAATGTATAGCCAATGATGGTAAATCCTAATATTTTCAATTTACAACTATATGGCAATGGAAAATGTTCTTTGCAGCTGTTTGGAGGAAAGCACTCAAGCCGTTTGTAGTGTATATCATGAATCCATCATGTCTCATTCCACCGTTTGCTGACTCTGGGCAACATTTTTTCCTCAAGGTAGAGGATTCTCTGAATTTTATGCGCATGAAACATGATACCGGAACCTCATCGTAGAGGTTCAAACTGCTTGACCGTAAATAAGTTGAAATAATTGAGATATATGAGCGATTGTTTACGATAAAAATAGGCAGCTATTGTTTGCATAATATTAATATTGAATTTTGGATTGATGGATTTATTGAGATTTACAAGATGTGGTTTAGGAATTTGAAGAAAAAAAAATCAGATTTGAAGAAAAAAGCAAGTACTAATGAAAATTTTTGGTAAAAGTGGGAGACGTAGAATGATACTTCAGAATATAGGAGCATTAGTTTATGTATATTGATATTTTACCATGTATAAATTCATAGATATGATTTATCTCTAGATTAGTGTATGTTATTAAGGATGTCTAGAATGAGTCACATTAGAATTTACTTAGATTTCATGATTCTTATATTTT